GGTAATCAGCACTTGACTCATCGAGTATAGTGCAGATATTTCATTATATCTAATGAAACTTAATTAATACTTTAACTTAGAATTTAAAGTTTATTATTAGGTGAAGATCAGCATTAAATGGTTAAGTTAAGCCATGAATATTACTTGGCTTGTTATCTTGACGTGATAATGAAGAAACAATTACATTCACTGACTCTACAAAAAGAAAAAGTAAAATTTCTTGAAACGATCAAATCAAAGGATGAGTAATCAATTATCATAAAAATATAATATAATCTACGTACCAAACAGAGAATGATAGACCCTTGGAATCGACACAAGAGAGTTCAAAGCATTAGTTGAACAGATAGAAGGTTGAGGAAAACAACAATTACAATACATAATATATAATCAGATGGGTATTTTTTATTTTAATTTATGAATTCTTCACCCGTGCTTTGTCTTATCTAGATTTAGTCTTCATTGATGGGGTCTCCACTTCCACACCTAAATACATAAATAAAACAGTGGCTCTCTTATAGGGTATAAGAAAACAGTGTTTCTGTTACGTCATTTCTTTCTAAGCAAGAGCTAGAAGATGAATATGAAAACGATGTATGATAAAAATTATTATATAGATGAATTAATGACCGTGAGTTCTTTCATGCATGTGGATATCATATGTACGAGAGTTGCTTAAATGGGGCCTCTCAAAAATCATGTCCATTAACTTTGTCTGTCTATCAAACCACAAGCTAATAAAAACACTGAAAAAGCCAAAGAAGAGAAGCAATCTGATCACACTCAAAAAGCTAGAAAGAAGACCTTTTCAGATGAGCTCTTTCTCTTCCCCATAGATTCTCAAGTTGCTGTCATTGTATTCAATATATACGAATATACACCTCCACTCTTTATAATTATTATTCCTTCTTATATTAACCTCTCTTACTCTCTTCCATTACACAACTTCAAATTAATATCTTAAAGCACAATGGAGCAAGCTCAGTATTGGACGTGGATGAAGAGAAGAGAGATCTTGAACTCTTTTAGCGATTCTAATTGGGAAGAAAGAGCTTTTGCAGAAGATGCAGCCGGGTCTCTTGGTGGATGTGTATGGCCTCCCAGATCTTATTCGTGTAGTTTTTGTAAAAGAGAATTCAAGTCTGCTCAAGCCCTCGGTGGTCACATGAATGTCCATAGAAGGGATAGAGCTAGGCTTAAACATTCTCTTACTCTAGACAGCGAAGTTCTTAACCAAAATTCTCTTCAACCATTGGAGCCTAAATGCCCATCTGAGGTTACTACTCTTTCACCTTCTTGGGTTTCAGCTTTATCTACTCAAGAAAATTTAAGTGGAAACACTACACCTGATTCTTCTTCTTTTGTTGAAGAAAAACATAAGGGTTATTTATCTATAGGTCATGAAGATTATGTTGAAACCAATTTGTCTGTGGGGTTGAATTTTGTTTTTCGTCGAGATCGACCAACTGGGTCCTGTGGTGATGAAGCAAGTAGCTGTAAAAGAAGCAAGACCAGTAGTGGCGTTGCAACGCTTCCTTTTTTTTTATCAAACGACAAATATAATGGTGTCCGCATGGAGGTTCTTAATTTCAGGTCTAATTCCAAGGATAATTTGGATCTTGAACTCAGGCTTGGTCATCCACCGCATGTGAAGTAGTGAAGTACGTACAAGAGATTATCGGGGAGCTGGCTTCAATGGACTCATTGCTTTCTCTTAGATATATAGTAGTTATTATCTTTCGTTAATTTTCTTTTCTTTTCTTTTATGTAATCCCTTTAATCTAACAAAAAGTAGGCAAAGGCCTCTTGTGCACATTTTGAACTTTGAATAGAGAATGAAAAAACTTTCAAAAAGTTTGTGCTCTCGTAAAATTTGTTGTTCCTTTTTTTCTTGTTTTGGATGGTTTTTTGATACCAAACCCAGTTGAAGAATTAAATCATGACGATTTGGTTCAACTATATTATATCTTAATGATGATCTCTACATGCATTGACATGAAATATGATGAAGATGTTTGTATTCTAGTCAATCTATTTTGTCTTCTCATTAATTTATTGACTGTTTCTGGTTTATTAATAAGGTAATTAAAGGACGGTATGATCGACAATACTCCTGAGAAGATCTGTTGCATGGTGGAAATTACAATTCCCATAAGCACTTCTGATCTGATTCACTTCTACTCCTCTTCTCTCCAATCCTCCAAAAAGTTCACGAACTCTACGCAATAAAATTGAATATATTACTCGCTTGTCTCAGACAATATCACATCATTTTGCACTATTTACGCGTCCTTGGTTGTTACTCTTGTTCGTAATAGTGGCTATATTAAATCCGCAATGACCTAACCTAATAGCCTAAAAGAAACAGAAATATATAAAAAAATTCAAAACCCTAAAAGTATTGTCTGGTTAGAGTAAGTATTTTCCTATGGCACAGTAATATATAGGTAGCTAAAATAGCAACCTTTCGATACCGAAGGTTCCTCCACAATACACGGCGAGTTCTCAGTGTTGTATTGATGTTTTTTCAACGTTTTCCTTATAAGGAAATTTGATGAAACATGGCTTATGACTTAAGAAAATTTTCTGTTCTTTTTGTTGAGATCGATGAGAGAAAGAAAGAGAAAAAAAACTAAAGACTTTGCTGTATATTACAAAGAATTTATGTTGCCTCAACAAGTTTATTCCCTTTAAAGCAAAGAATTGAAGATTGATTGCGTGTTTTCTACGTGGGTTCTTGGGGTTGGGGACAGAGATTATATGTATGTATGTATATAGAGAGAAACTGAGAATGGTTGCTTAGGTTTCCATGAAATTCCTGGTTTGTGTAAAAGAGTTCTTAAAGATAAAAGAGGATTGGTTTGAAGGCTGTCTCTAGGTATAATGGTTAATTAGGTGACTCGTTTTCTCGAACTCAGTGGGGGGTTTTTAAGTGCAGCAGTGACAGAGGCAGAGCTTGCACATGGGGGAATGGATTGAATTGAGTTGATGTGTTTGTTTCTGTGTTGCTTTCATGGATTGATTTTTAAGGGAATGATCGATCGATGTGTCTACAAATATAATATTAAATTTTAGGTATGAGATTGATTGAACTCAGTTCAGCAGATTGGAAGGTGGGAATTCTGAAACCAATCTTTGTAGCAATTGCTTTTGCTTGCATATGGAATTAAAATTTTGCTGTTTGATCTCTTACTTTTTGCTTCAAATTATCAACTATATGTATCAAACAAATCGCTGAGGTCATATCATTATCATAGTGAGTTGAAGAGACACTACTTCTCAACTCGACCCCTTGACAAATTAACATTAATCAACCTATCCATGAAATGACTTAATAGAGACTAATATCACAAGAATCATCACATTTGGGTCACTTTTGACCTAATGGACTGCTACGCCAATGATAATTTTTTTTCTTTTTTTAGGTAACTGGGTGTTTGGATCAGTTTGTACACATCTAAACTAATATCTGGAGTCCATTGAAAGGGTCAGGTAAATCATAATGTTATTTTAGTGGATGGCCTCAAGATTGGAATCTAAGAATTCAAGGAAGAAAGCAAACCCCCTTGAATGCCAAACTAATCCTTTGGGGTTTCGTTAATGACATTTAACTCTATAAAACATTTCAAATTACAAGGTTTTTTTAAGTATTTCAATTTAATAATAATTACGGGGTTTTATATATATATTCCATCACATGTACTAACCACTATAAAATTTGTAATTTTTTAAAAATTAAAAAACTAGGGTTCATTCTGTAATCTTAGAGGGCAGCTATTGAGTGTTATTTAATTAAAGGTCTAAAAATTCTTATCATTCCTCAAGACAAGAGCCTACACCTAATATTCTCCANTTAATTAGGTGACTCGTTTTCTCGAACTCAGTGGGGGGTTTTTAAGTGCAGCAGTGACAGAGGCAGAGCTTGCACATGGGGGAATGGATTGAATTGAGTTGATGTGTTTGTTTCTGTGTTGCTTTCATGGATTGATTTTTAAGGGAATGATCGATCGATGTGTCTACAAATATAATATTAAATTTTAGGTATGGGATTGATTGAACTCAGTTCAGCAGATTGGAAGGTGGGAATTCTGAAACCAATCTTTGTAGCAATTGCTTTTGCTTGCATATGGAATTAAAATTTTGCTGTTTGATCTCTTACTTTTTGCTTCAAATTATCAACTATATGTATCAAACAAATCGCTGAGGTCATATCATTATCATAGTGAGTTGAAGAGACACTACTTCTCAACTCGACCCCTTGACAAATTAACATTAATCAACCTATCCATGAAATGACTTAATAGAGACTAATATCACAAGAATCATCACATTTGGGTCACTTTTGACCTAATGGACTGCTACGCCAATGATAATTTTTTTTCTTTTTTTAGGTAACTGGGTGTTTGGATCAGTTTGTACACATCTAAACTAATATCTGGAGTCCATTGAAAGGGTCAGGTAAATCATAATGTTATTTTAGTGGATGGCCTCAAGATTGGAATCTAAGAATTCAAGGAAGAAAGCAAACCCCCTTGAATGCCAAACTAATCCTTTGGGGTTTCGTTAATGACATTTAACTCTATAAAACATTTCAAATTACAAGGTTTTTTTAAGTATTTCAATTTAATAATAATTACGGGGTTTTATATATATATTCCATCACATGTACTAACCACTATAAAATTTGTAATTTTTTAAAAATTAAAAAACTAGGGTTCATTCTGTAATCTTAGAGGGCAGCTATTGAGTGTTATTTAATTAAAGGTCTAAAAATTCTTATCATTCCTCAAGACAAGAGCCTACACCTAATATTCTCCAATGTAATTCGGTTCTAGAGTTTCTTCCTTCAAATGGGCCTATCAAAATCAACCCATTAAACCAAACAAGGTATTGGGCCAGTCCAGCAAAGTTTACTTTGCATTTTGGCAAAGTTCAGTGTTCGCATGAAACAAAATTTCGGATGACGTGTTTTTCCAATTCTGAACATTGCGACATTTGAAGAGTCGAGAGTTGCAGATGTTTACACAATTTCACAACACAAAGTGAAGTAACAACAATAATGTCAAATTCAGAAACCAGCAGTTTCTTAGGCTCAAGATGGTCTCTTAAGGGAATGACAGCTCTCGTCACTGGCGGCACTCGTGGAATTGGGTTCTTTCTATTTCTCCTTTTCACTTTCTTTGTCAATAAAAATGTCAACGTTTCTTTTTCCAATTGATTTAAACATAACCTTTTGTTGGGTTTGTTATTTTATGTGTAGGCGTGCGGTGGTGGAGGAGCTAGCTGGGTTTGGTGCTGCTGTACACACTTGTTCGAGAAACGAAGCTGAGCTTAATCAGTGCTTAGAAGAATGGCGAAGTAAGGGGTTTGTGGTTAGTGGGTCAGTTTGTGATGCCGCTGTTTCTGCTCAGAGAGTGAAGCTGATGGCGGAAGTTGGCTCTGTTTTTAATGGCATACTTAACATACTTGTAAGTATTCGTCTAGAATACAATGTGCTTATTTGTTTATTTATTTTTAATTTCTTTATCTTGATTGGTATAAGACTTGCTTGCTTAATTTTAGTGTTTGGTCAGTGTGATTTTCCTGTAAAAGACGACTTGTTTGGGGCTATGGTGGCTAGAGTACTATTGATGTATAGAAAATTATTTATTTAGTCTTTTTCCTGTTCCAATTGGCAGAGTTATGAGTAACTAGCTCCCTACTGAAAATTTGTTTCAGTTATATTGAGGCCTTAACATTTCAGTGTTTATTTCTGTTTGTTGATACTTATTGTTATTTGCTCTCTTTCACTTTTATGATAATGGCATTTCAACAGTAATATGGGATGTGCCCATATTGCTTCCTGAGCATTAAAAATGTTGTCTGGCTTGAATCTTTTGTTAGTAATTAAGAATCGATATGAACTTTGCGTGGAATTGTCCGTTAATGCAAGTCCAATATGTGACTTTGATTGACAGGATTTTGTGGACTTTGAACTGCGTATTTGAAAATCTAAATGAATTTCCGCAATTCGGATCTAGCCTCCTCTAACCACTGACTAACATTCGTACGCATTTGACAAAACTGAACAAAATCACTTCAAGGAGCTTGTGTTCTTTTTTACATGAGCATTTATGGAAGTCACTACTCTTTTACATTTTACTTAACTTATAACTTAGACTCCCCAGACTTTTGAGGGATTTTTCATGATCTTCTTGGTTTATTAGGTCAACAATGTTGGGACAAATATCAGGAAGCCAACTATGGAGTACTCTGCTGAAGAATATTCAAAACTTATGACTGTCAACTTTGAATCTACATACCATTTGTGCCAACTTGCATATCCTTGTCTAAAAGCATCTGAAACAGGAAGTATTGTGTTCATTTCATCCGTTGCAGGTGTTTTGAATATCGGTAGTGGATCCATTTATGGAGCAACCAAAGGTGAGTACATCAATCATTGGTGATGTTTTGGCACTAATATTAGGTGCAAAAGTTAAAGGGTTTTGTGTCTTGCTATTGTGAGGTGCAATGAATCAACTTACCAAAAATCTGGCTTGTGAGTGGGCAAAGGACAAAATCAGGACAAACTGTGTTGCTCCCTGGTACACCAAAACCTCGTTGGTAGAACATGTAATATTCTGTACTCTGCTTGTTATCATTTAGAAACTTTGAATTTTTGTTGCAAGGTGATATTTCTTTTCAACAAGGGATCCTGTCTATTTTCTCTAGAAATATTCCAAAAAATTTAACTAGAAAACTCTGCAAAATTAATAGATGATGTGTGTGGTTCCAAAATGGATTTCTTCTTCTGCATAGCACTCCTTTAATTCTAACCATGGATGCACTATGAATGAGATGCTTAATATTGCACATGAACATTCTTTAATATTAGATTGGAAGTTGTCATGACAGCCAGACAGAGTCCTTATCCAAAAGCAAGGTGTATTCATTGTCACGTTTTCTGTATTCTGGTAATACGGACAGAATCATGTTGGTGCTTGAATTAGTCTAGCAATAGAGATCCTTTTGGGTTTAGAATATTGAAGAACAAAGTGGAACAAAGATACTGCATCAAAGATCACCTTGATTCTTAATTGAATGTTGATCATAAGTCCTAGAGCATTTAAAAAAATTAACTCCAAATGCTTTCTTATTCGTCTAGATCTTAACTTGGGTGTGTGTATACTGTTATGGTCTGATATCATATAGCATGTATGAAGCTTTAAAACGGGAAAATTCTTCTAAGCTAAATAAAGTATCATAATTCACTTTCTATAGCCATGTCCTTGAATAGCAATGTATATTCTTGTCTCGAAACTTGTCTTGTATAGATCATCTTGTTACAAATCTGGGGTTGAGTTTTTAATCCTGTGAGTAACCTTCATATGGAATTTATTTCCAGTCTATGGATTGTGAGATTGCTTCCCTTAGTTTGTGCAAATAAAAGAGGTGCTTGGCCAAAGTAATTCAAGTTGGCCAGAATTTTCCATTTGGACTTAATCTGTACTTTTCTCTGGCACATTTATACAATACCAATTGTTTATCGGTGGAAAATTCATCTCATTTCTGCTAATTTCTTTTTCCTGCAGTTGCTTGAAAAAAAAGAATTCTTGGAAAAGATAGTCTCTCGAACTCCGCTTGAACGTGTTGGAGAACCAGAGGAAGTTGCATCTCTGGTGGCATTTCTTTGTCTGCCTGCTGCTTCTTATATCACTGGACAGGTTATTTCTGTTGATGGTGGATTCACTGTAAATGGTTTCAACCCTGACATGAGACTAGATTGAAAAAATTGAGCCATCTCCCCCTCCATTTGTGCAGAACATCCAGAACTGTTCAACAAAATTAACATGTTCCTTTAGTTATTTATGTTGATGATGCCCAATAAGGTTAAAATGTGATATTTGAAACTTCTTGTCTCATTGTTTTTACGCATATTGTTTTTGGTTGCAGTACTTTCCTCTTTATTTGGTTCCAACTTTTGTTTAGAGATCAATCCATTTTGTAAGCTAGAAACTAAAGCATGGATAACTTTTAATATTGAATGATTTTCTGAATATCTTGGAATAAAATTTAGAATAAATACTAATTTCATAATGAGTTTATTGAAATTTATAATTAAGTTTGTATGGAGATTTTGGCTATGTTATGAATTCATTGGTATTATCTTAATCAATATTCATGTTAAATTAAATGGGTTCAAAAGAAAATTAGATAATTTGGTAAATCACATTGTTTTGTATTAAAAAATGGTGGTCTAATGAGACAATATCCCATCCTTCAAATTTTACTTAGGCCGCTGTTTGGCCCATAGAAAGAACAAACGGACAAACAGAGGGAAGATAATGGGGCGACGTTTAAGTGTAAAGTTGACATTAGACAATAAGACAAAATTCAGATCACCGAACTTGATCTCTCAGCAATCAACGAAGTACGATGTCAAACGCAGAGAGCAGTTTCAAAAGTTCGAGATGGTCTCTAAAGGGAATGACTGCTCTTGTGACTGGCGGCACACGTGGAATTGGGTTCTTTACATCTTTCCTTTTCAATTTCTTTCTGGAGAAAATTAACCATTGATTTAAAGTTAAAAGAAAAGTCCCTTTTTTTTTGTGTGTTTAGGCATGCAGTAGTGGAGGAACTGGCTGGGTTTGGTGCTTCTATACACACCTGCGCAAGAAACGAAACTGAGCTCAATAAATACTTACAAGACTGGCGAAGTAAAGGGTTTGTGGTTACAGGGTCAGTTTGTGATGCAGCAGTTTCTGCTCAGAGAGTGAAGCTGATGGAAGAAGTTGGCTCCATTTTTAATGGCAGACTCAACATACTTGTAAGTACCTCGATAGATTTTAAATCTTTATTCGCTTTCTCATCAATATAATGTGTTGATCTTTTAATATAGTAGAAGAGATTACACGTTTTTAATGATTGGTTAGCGTGATTATCTTGTATTGGTTCTTGTTCCAAAGTGGCTTGTGTAGTATTTGATCTACAAAAGATCTTTTGATGCTCATTGTGATTGGTTCCCTATAATTTTATGATAATGGCGTTTCACTACCAATCTGGGATATGGGCTATCATTTATGATATATGAACATTGGGAACTGTTTTCTTGAGCATTACAAGTGTTGTGTGATATAATTTTTTCTTTTTACTAGTTGAGAACTGATTTTAACTTTTGGTTGAATTGCCCAAGAGTGCAAGTCTAATTTTTGTCCCCTTGATTGTATGGCACTTCCAGATAATTATATCAATAAATTTGAAGATCAAAATGATTTTTCTTGATAAGGGTTTAACCTCTTCTATGGTTATGACAAAACCTGAACAAAAGTGGTTCATGGAGCTTATGTGTTATTTGTAACATGAACATCTTACTTAACTCTCTCCTGTGTCTTTTGAGGGAGTTCTTTGTGATCCTTGTTTATTAGGTAAACAATGTTGGGACAAATGTCAAAAAACCAACTATGGAGTACTCTGCCGAAGAATTTTCAAAGATAATGACTACCAACTTTGAATCGGCATACCATCTGTGCCAACTTGCACATCCTCTTCTAAAAGCATCTGGATCAGGGAGTATTGTGTTCATTTCCTCTGTTGCTGGTGTTGTGCATATACTTACTGGATCCATTTATGGAGCCACTAAAGGTCAGTTACAGCTCTCCACTTGGTGATGTTTCGGCACAAACAAATATGAGCCGTGAATAAGTTAAAAGGATTGTTTCCTTTCTTGCTATTCTCAGGTGCAATGAATCAACTTACAAAAAATCTGGCTTGTGAGTGGGCAAAGGACAATATCAGGGCAAACAGTGTTGCTCCCTGGTACATCAAAACCTCGCTGGTACAACATGTAATATTCTGCTCTCTACTTGTGATCATTTAGCAAAATTTATATGTAGAAAAATGTTCCCAAAATTTATACATGACATGTTTGTCTAAATCTTATAAGTCTTATAAATCAACTTCAAATGTTCTCTTCTTCCACTAAATCCGTACTGGGGAATGAGTATACTTTTATGCAATAATATCATATGTTCCTTCTTTGTATTTCTGCAAATAGAAGAGGTAACTATGGCAAATGTATTCATGTTGCCCAAAATTTCCATTTAGACATAATCTTTATTATTCTCTTGTACAGTTACATGATAGTTCATACCAGTTGTTTATCCTTGAAAAAATTTCATTTTTTGGGTTATTTTGTTTTCATGCTAGGTGCTTAAAGATGAAGAGTTCGTGGAAAAGATAGTTGCTCGAACTCCTCTTGAACGCATTGGAGAACCGGAGGAAGTTGCATCGCTGGTGGCATACCTTTGTCTACCTGCTGCGTCTTACATCACTGGACAGATTATTTCTGTTGATGGTGGATTCAGTGTAAATGGTTTTAACCCTAGATTTTAGACTAAATGAGAAAATTAGACATTTCGGTTACTCTCAGTGCAGAAGTTCCTCGACTATTCAGCACGAATAACTTGTCCCTAGCGTTTTATATATTGACGATGCTCAAAAAGGCCGAAAGGCCATATCTGAAATGTCTTGTGTCATTGTTCTTGAGAAACCTGTTCTCCCTTACAGAACTTCACTCTCTATAGAGATTTTAACTTGCTTTGATTTAGAGATCAATCCATTTGTAAGCTACAATTTATGTTTATTTTCTTCACCATGAGCCAAAATTTGCACTCGTCTTTATTATCCTACAATGGCAGGACTTATAAACCAGGTGACTTAAAACTTAAAATAAATTCTTAGTACCAAAAAATGAAAAAGAAAATTTTATCTAATAAGATCATGTTTTGAAATAAAGCCTTATAAAATTTGTTAAAAATATTATATAATATTTATATAAGACCTTAATTTATTTCAATATTATTCTTGCTATTCTTTTATTTCCAGCTTGAAGCCCGTTTGAAGAAATATTGGGCTGGGCAAGATAATTTTCCTTCGGCCATTGTGGGCTTCACACAAAGAACGGTGATCCACTGATCCGCCGCTAAAAGTAAATTCAGAATCACTTCAGATAGCGATCCTCGTTAGTCGTTAGTCTGAAGAGCCGAGCTTGAACTCGAAAGTCAAACGCAGTGAATCGAAGAACAATGGCCAAGAAGGAAAGCAGTTTCAAAAGCTCGAGATGGTCTCTTCAGGGAATGTCTGCTCTTGTCACTGGTGGCACTCGTGGAATCGGGTTCCGTTAATCTCTCTCTTTCCTATTCTAAGTTTTCTTTCTCGAGAAAATTAAAGTAATGTAACCATCGATTTAAAGTTTAAAACAAAAAGCCTTTTCGGGCTTGTTATTTTACGAGTTTAGGTATGCAATAGTGGAGGAACTAGCTGGGTTTGGTGCTGCTATCCACACTTGTTCAAGAAATGAAGCTGAGCTTAATAAGTGCTTACAAGAATGGCGAAGTAAGGGGTTCGTGGTTTCTGGTTCAGTTTGTGATGCTTCAGTTTCTGCTCAGAGAGAGAAGCTGATGGAGGGAGTTGGCTCAATTTTTAATGGCAGACTCAACATACTTGTAAGTATCTCTATAGAATGTTTTACGACTTTATCTTAATATGTTATCAGTGATTGCTTGCTTAATGTTATTGTTCTATGAGCATTATAAATTTTATCTGACATGAATTTCAGTTTTGATTAATAATTAATGTTGATGCTTGATTTTGACACCAACGATGCATACGTACAAAGTACTAAGTTGACTTATAAATTTCAGCTTAGAAATTGCACATGAACGAAAAATGCAATGACGTAAATGGAAGATGATTTTTAAAGTGGTTTGGATGCTTAAAGCGAATCCTACGTCTACTATTCTTTTATATATATGAGGTTAGAGGAGATCGTATAGCGAACAGCGAGCCGAGGTACAAATGACTGATTATTCAGAGAAAATATCAAGTCAGTCTCTTTCTCACAGGTTATCTATGTTTTGAGAATAAAATGTTATAATCAGAATGCGAATTTTTTATCAGAATCTCGAAAATGAGAGGAGGAGCCCTCTATTTATAGTAGAAGATTTCAGGGTAATGATTACAAATCTGTAAGTGGATAGATGTAGTACAATTCCTACCGCACTCCCCATTGGCTGATTACATAAGAGATATCCTCAAATCGCGTAGGGCTTGGACAAGTGGGCGACTCCCATCCACTCATAGATGAAGCGTGAGTCTGTCAAGTTGATGACAACCATACTCTTTCTGTCTTTAGACGACGTGACAGCTCCTGAACGGTACAAAGACTTCCTGAACTCTGATTGGCGCTTGCTGACGTAAACTCGTGTCAGCCCTATTTTTTTAGGCATAACAATCAATATGAAACTTGAGTAATTTCCAGGATTGCAACTTTAAGTTTTGTCACTCGATTGCCAGGCACTTGTGCGTTTTGATCTTTAATCTTATCTTATGAGCAACTTTTGACAATTTAAATGAATTTTCTGGATATAGATTTTTAACCTCTACTATGGTTTTGGAAACTGGTTCAAGGAGTTTATGTGCTATTTGCTACGTGATCACTTCTGGAAATCATTAGTCTTGGAAAACTTAATTCTTCATGTTGATTATCAGAGTTTTGAGGGAATTTTACATGATCTTCTTAGTTTATTAGGTAAACACTGTTTGAGAGCTTGTCTTGTATAGCATCATCTAGTTACAAATCTGGGGTTGGACTTTGTTATCGTGTAATTGACCTTCATATGAAACCATTCTCTGATTTATGGCTTGAGATATTCCTTATTTCCATCCCTGAATTTGTGCCAGAATTTCCATTTGGACATAATCTTTACTACTCAGGTAGAGTTTTATAATGTCAAATGTTTATCCTCCAAAGAATCTCATTGTTTGTTAATTCCTTTCTCATGCAGGCGCTTAGGGACAAAGAATTCGTGGAAAAGATACTCTCTCGAACTCCTCTTGAACGAGTCGGGGAACCAGAGGAAGTTGCATCCCTGGTGGCATTCCTTTGTCTACGTGCTGCTTCTTACATCACTGGACAGGTTATTTCCGTTGATGGTGGATTCACTGTAAATGGTTTTAACCATGGCTTTTAGACTAAATCGAGAAAAAAAATTAGCCATTCCGTCACCTCAGTCAGAGCTGAAGTGCCTGAACTATTCAACACAAACAACACATTCCTAGAGTTTTTTACGTTGATGATGGCCAATAAGGGTCAAAAGGCAATTTCTGAAACTTCTTTTATCATTGATTTTAAGCATTTTGTGAGCCACAATTTCATCCCGGATAAACATTGACTCTTAATCCAATATTACAAACTTTCTCTCACAATCACAATGTAATAGCTCGCAATTGGATAGGTGAAACTTATTTACGAATTGACCAATTACGAATTGTCACGTTAGGGTTATAAGTATAGTATTATCTATTTTATCCAATTTTTGGTTACATCTTTATCATCCTACGGTAGGAGTAGGACAAACGTAGAACTTGGGAAACATTACAAGTTATTCGTCGATATAAATTTCGCATTATTCAATTCAAATATTCTATATAATCCCATTTAAATATGTTGAAAACACCGACCACAAGCATATCTTTCGAAAACATGTTCTTTTTTCGCCATAATCTTTGAGTTATGTTGACTCAAAAATGGATAGAAACTTTATATTATAAATTAGTTAATCTGTAAGAGAATTCACTGGTACCATTTTTATTTATACGAGAATCCACTTTGAGTGTTAAGGAAGAAATCAAATCTGAATCAAATCAGAATAAAATCCGTTGACTTTTGGTTATTACTTCTGACTTCTGAGATTATTGAAGATAATCAATATTAATTTTTGAGAATATTATCATTCGTCTTTCCTCATCCGTCAAACCAAACACATTTTACTAAACCTAAACATGAAAAGACTACATTAACCTACCAATTATTTGTTTAATTAAGTGGAGAATTATAAATTATATAAAATAAAAATATCTTGGAAAAATCTCCACCTCAGCATTTCTTTGTAGGTTTTTTGGTTACGATGATGAGTCATGCTTTTTGCTGGTAACCTAAAAAATTATCTGACCTGCACAATTACTATTATTATTATTATTACCACCAATAATCGCACCAAACTTTTATGAGAGACACCCTCATATCTGTCACGTGCAACTGTCCTCATACGTGTCAAACAAAAAAACTAAAGTCACCAATCCTCATTGGATACTTTTTGTAAAAAATTTCCCGGTAATTAAATTCTAAATTATTATTAATTTTTTTATTTTTCAAATAGATTATTATCTATGGAGGCTGGGGTGGAGAGCAAAGGGTTTGACTTAACCAGATGGTGTAGTTATCTGATAAGGCTGTAAAAGTAACTGTGGTTAAGTGGGTTGGAACCTAAGGTTTAGGTCAGTCACTGGACTCACTGACTACTACTTTCTCACTCACGTGTCACTGCCTTTCGTTGCGTCACATCATGCAGGAGATTCATTGCTTGACAGCTTACACCCCCTTCTACGTGGCACTATCAAACTCCTCATCACTTTCACTTATTGCCTATCGGTCCCCACCTGCCTCATTGACGTGTATTGTATCGTTCCATGTTTCTGAATGAATATCTTCTGTCACGAAATTTCTGACGTTACACGTGTCGTGTCCCCACAAACATTACAAATAATCTAGGGTGATGAAAAAAAATCATTTTAATTTTAAAACTTTTACAAAATGACCCCTTATTGGTTATTTTTATAAAAAGTATCTACACAAGACATCGAATAAGTCATAAGCGCAATTATCATTAATTGTCAATAGCTGTCATATTTTGAGCAGCTGTAGTTTAAAATGTACTAATAAATGAAAAGAAAATGACCCACATATATCCAAATCCAAAATTTATTTAATTTTAAAATATAAGATAAGAGAGAATTTGAAAAGAGATTTTATGCTTGCCAATATCTTATGTATTATTTAATAAAATTAAGTTAATTGTGGATTAATTTGGATTTCAATCATTTGAAATTATTAATCATCATAATTTAAATACGCGAGAGTTGGAGGAGATCAATGTTAGTTTTACTTGGGTTAAAATGAAATGTATAAGAAATGAAGGGTTTCTTTTAAATTTAGAAAAGTATGTAGAAGGTGTCATTAACTGCCTTTCTAAATTGGGTTAGGGGACGGCCGAATTTTATAATTTGCGGGGAAGTCAGTGCTCGAAACGTGTAACAGCGCGAGGAACGAGAGATGCAGCTTAAACTCCACGTCAGACCTAGACACGTGGCTATTCAAAAGCTATTGAACCTAAGATATCCTGCAGTATTATCATCGATCTTTGACATGTGGTCCCACACGCGCCTAAATTTCCCTCGTTACGTAGACGCTTTCGCTGGACAACTGGATGGAACGACCAAAATAAAAGTGAGAAGCACCGATTCTATTCCCTTAACCAGGGCGCGTCCTTGCACGAACCAATTACTGGCAAGCACGCATGTATAAGCATAACCCTTATTATTCACATGAAATTGGTATATTTGAAACAAAAATCTGTACTATGAGATAATTATCTGTCTAATTAATGGTTATAACCATTACCATAAAATATTTGAGCTAATAAGAATTTCAGAAACAAAAATAAATATTTATAACATATTCTTTATATATGTGCATTTATATGACAAATATATTTATTTTATGTTATTAGTTGTGGAATTACTACATTAATCTCATATGTGATTTGATGTTTAACTAGTACATAAAAATTTATGAGAATTTTTTCATAAATTATAAAATAATTTCTTAAAATGATTAGATTCATGGTTACTTTTAATTAAAACACATCAAAGTTAATATTATTAGTAATTGCAAAAAAAAATAAAAAAAATAAAGGAAAAATCAAAAAAGAAGAAAGAAAAAGGTGACGAACTGATTATAAACTGCTAAGTCGTACAGGAGAAGTGTTTGGGTGGCACTCGCAACAAAAGCGTGTGAAAAGGCGAATCCAATTCGAATATCGTATTCCACGATCTCGCCACGTGGTGATTTTGTCTGTAACAGCTTTTTTTTTTTAATCAGGCAAAAATGTGTACAATGTATACGGCGTTAACTCACAAAAGAGGCAGGACCACATGCGTGTCAGAAAAGGAGGGTCATATCTTCCGATGGTGTCAGCCTCTCATTGGACCACGTAAACAAGTTCATAAAATACTAATACACGTGGTGATTAATCAAGGAGAGAGAAAGATCGTGCCAAAATGGACGGTGTAGATGGTATCTTGTATTCAGTAAATCGACGTCACACCAACTGTACGTGTCTGATACCTGCCCGTGACGGTGACGGGTAGGCTGCCCGCTATTACGTGTGGCCCCCAGGTGAAACTGTGCCTTCCCTTGTGTAGAAAAGCTTCATTTCGAGGGATTTTAATAGGTGCTTTCATTTCTGCAAGAGATCTCTCATTTCTCTTCTGTCTCTTCTTTGTCTATAGAAACTCATTAGTCGCTTCTTTCTTCAATATAATTGTAGAGTACTGAAGCGGTGAAGCCAACTGATTGCAGAGTTAAGAGTTGGAGTTGGAGTTGAAGTTGAAGTTATCAACTTGAGCTTGTGTTTCATTATTTTCTTGGAATTCAATGGCTGGAATTTGTTGTGGAGTTGTTAATGAGACTGAACCAGCTGCACCAGTTGAGCCCAGCTCACGAACATCCAGGCGAAGGAGGTTAGAGCTACGGCCGTTTAAGTTGGTGGCAGACGCCGCCGTGCAACCTCCAACGCCGTTAGAAAACGGTCGGAAACGACAAAGGCTTGAACTTTTTACACCCGTACCACGAGAGAACTGTGAAACGAACGTACCTAACCGAAGCCGTTCTGTTAATAATGAAAAAGTTAATAGTAATGAAGCCCTGAATTTAAGCTCCCGTGCAAACCTTGTGGATGATGAGGGAGATGAGAGTCCTAAATTTGGGATGACGTCAGTTTGTGGGAGAAGACGAGACATGGAAGACGCAGTTTCGATTCGCACGTCGTTTTATAGGAAAAAAGGCAGCGTTTCAGCTAACACGCACTTCTTCGGCGTATTTGATGGCCATGGTTGCTCTCATGTAATAATCTTTAAAAAACTTGATACTTCTATCAAATATTTTGATTCATTTCGTTAAGTGACTCATCTTTTGATATGTTCCTTGTTTTTTAGGTGGCGATGAAGTGTAAAGATCGGCTGCATGAGATTGTTAAAGAAGAGCTTGAAGCCTGTAATGAAGAAGAAACTGTGGAGTGGAAGGACGCTATGGAGCGAAGCTACGAGAGAATGGATAAAGAGGTACAAGGGTTGACCGAGAAGTCGAAGATCTCAAGTTGTAGATGTGAGCTCCAGACTCCTCAATGCGACGCCGTTGGATCCACGGCTGTTGTCGCCGTTGTTACTCCGGATAAGATTGTCGTCTCTAACTGTGGCGACTCTCGCGCTGTCCTCTGCCGAAACGGAGTCGCAGTCCCTCTCTCTTCGGATCATAAGGTACGGTTAACGCTTTACGCTTTACGTTGTAATTTCACCTTCTCTTGGCACGTGCTTTTCAAAACCGTCCCTTCACCTGTTTTTGGTTTTTTTCAATTACAGCCGGATCGACCGGATGAGTTGCTCCGAATCCAAGAGGCGGGTGGCCGGGTCATTTACTGGGAGGGACCACGTGTCCTCGGTGTTCTGGCGATGTCAAGAGCAATTGGAGACAATTATTTGAAGCCGTTCGTGATTCCGGAACCGGAGGTGATGGTGACGGAGCGTACGACGGATGACGAGTGTTTGATTCTGGCGAGCGACGGCTTATGGGACGTGGTGTCCAACGACACAGCCGTTAACGTGGTGCGCACGTGCTTCCGAGCTCACAGAACGTCGACTTCGTCACCCGGATCGCCGGGAAGTGACGTGGCTGGACAGAGTTCCGATAAGGCCTGCTCCGACGCGTCAATTCTGTTGACCAAATTGGCCCTGGCTAGACATAGTATGGACAACGTGAGCGTTGTTGTGGTTGATTTGAGAAAAAATTCACAGCAACAGAAGCCATAGTCCATAGAAAAATTATACATAAACTAAATTTACTAATTTTCCGACTTGAATTAAAAATGAAAAAAAATATATATATAATTTGTAGGGTTATTTTAAAGAGGCAAAATTATAAGTGTAATGCTTCTGAGTTTTAGTTTTTCTTCTTATAATTTTTAGAAATGGTGAGAAATCTGCAACAAAAATTGCAGAAATGGGAATATGGTATTTTGTAAAATATATTAATGATGATATATTATCGAATGGCCTTGAGTCCTTTCACAGTCCATTGAGTTCTGGTTAATGCTTATCTTAATTCTCAATTCAGTTGGATCTGGTTTTTGTAATTGAACCTGAAAGATGGAGATGGCATTGAAAATGTCAAAATGATGAACACCACTTTTTGACCGTAACGTACGTGTCTTTTACCAGTTCGTTACAGAAATTAAATAAGGTTTACAACCGTCTTCGATTCCCAATTCGTATAAATAAAAAGAAGACGATCACAAAAGGGAGGTCAGAAATATAAATAATAAAAAGATGACACGTAGCAAAGGCATGGTCAGCAGCATAAACAATAAGAAGATGACACTTAGCAAAGGCATCGCCAACAGAACGTGGTGGAGTAGATTTTGTAAGATCTGATGTTGATGCCATTCCCTACAAAACCCAATATTTAAATCATTAAAAGACTTTAGGGTATTTACAAGTGGTGAGTGATTACGTCAGTGTCCAGTCATCATAATTAACTTTAAACTCAATTACTTGAGCAACTAACTGACCACGCCTAGCCTAAGGCCTAACTCTCAATTATTAATTTATTTGTCAGACCAATGACTCTTCAGTTGGTCCGCCATTTCTTGATTTGGACTCCTGACTCTTGATCTTGACTGCACAACTTGTCCAGAAATGCCATCAAATTAGTGCATGATATAATTAAAGAAAGAAAATAAGATAGTAGCTTCATTTAATATTTGATATTTTCCTAAAATCCTAAATCTTCTTGTATTCAAAGATTGTAATAAAATATATATTAAAGTGATAATAATAATTTAAGAATTTAATTTGAAAAGTTATATACACAACTTATCAATTATATAAGAGCAAACCAAGAGAGAAATAGACAGGGAGGCATGACAATAAGTGGTTGGAGAAGTGAGTAATGTATTTTATGGAAAACGGTCACAAAGATTGCAGAAAATAAATAGTACAATAAACCTAAACCTGCCAATATGAATTTACAAAAACACCCTATGTAACACTATATACGTACACATGCAATCACAAAGTTAATCTTCAATACAAAGGAATAGTTTTTCTTGATTAATCCAATCAAAGGAAACAGAAAGTATGAGAGAAACCAAGAAAGAGAGAAAACATGAAAATAAATGTGTATTTTCAAATTCCAGGATCAATAAAATATGAAAATATCTTAATGAGGTTAATATAATATGGGTAATTTTAGTAGGATCAATATAAATTTTAGTGGAATCAAAATTATATGCTGCATGACGCATGTGTTGTTTTAGGAATAAGTATTTGCGTTTGGAATAATATATTCTTGAAGAACATATGCAACATAAGTACCATAAATTTAAGCTACAATTCTATTGAAACTCCATGACCAATAAAGATGGTGAAGGCATGGCTAAAGTTTCACCAGAAGTTCAAGGGTCTAATAAAGCTACAAAACCAGCAAAGTGAACACAAAAGAAGTAGTAAAAAATGATGGAAAAGACAACTTATCAAATAACTATAAAAGTAACATGGGATTAGGGGCGCTTAATGGGCCGAGCCACTCGCGAGCCGGCTCGACTTAGCTCGAGTCTGGCTAGTTAACGGCTCGGCTCGATTCATGAGATAGAACGAGCCGAGTTCAAGCCATACTCGGCTCAGCTCGTTAGGCTTGTAAGCCGAGCCTGGCTCGAAAAAAACTGGGGGTTTTTTGAAGTTCAGGGAATTAAAATGAAAATTTAACAACAATTTTTTTTTTAAAAAGGACAAAATCCCCCCCAATTTTTCAATCCCTAAAACCACGCACTTTCTCATTTTCCGTAACTCTTCGCCGTAATCCCTAAATTTCATCGATCCCCAACACGGTTTGTCGGCAGCACTAGCACACCTCCTAGTCACCGTCAACTCTTCGCCGTGAACCACGTCTTCTTCATCAGATTTGCGTCGCTGAGCTGTCGCCGTCAACTCTTCGCTGTGAACCACGTCTTCTTCATTGGATTTGAGTCAAAATTTTTACAAAAACCTTCAGAGTATCAAACCTGCGTGCTGCCTAGGTTATTAAAAAAAAAAAAAAAAGATTGATTTTTTCTTTAAAAATTTGAATTTTTGAGAGTGGGCTCGTGAGCTAGCTCGAAATATTCCCAACTCCTTCCCGAGCCGAGCCGAGCCATGAAATCTTCAGCTCAACTCGACTCGATTAATAATCCTCTCTCACGAGCCGAGCTCGTTAAGCCAAAAACTCGGCTCGTTAACACCCCTACATGGGATGTTGCATAATCATATAATCAAAATTGAAAAATATCAAAAGAATGGTTTTTTTTTTTTTTTAATCTCCAGGGTTATTCATGTTAACTTGCGCGCACCTTAACTAATCTCTCGAGATCCTGGAGGTGCTGGTTGGGTAAGAGTCCTAGTGGCCACCTCTATTAGTGCCCGGAGGGACTCGAACTCAAGAGCTCATGAAACCTCTTTTTGCTCTTTTATTATCAAACCACCCAGTGATATTACAAAAGACGGGTTTGATCATGAGGAAAGTAAAGCAAAACAGGAATGGAGAGACAAGTTTGATTCTCTCAAATAGATCATGTATATTTACTGTAATTTTGAACAACTTAAAATTCAATCAAACTTAATTCCATTAATAATATCTACATAATACAGTAATTGTAATTGTTTATTGATAAATAAGAATAGGTTATTGATAGGCCTCCGTTTTGTCGTTGAATGGGCTGAGTAAGCTCTCAATGCTCATAACTGAAAAGTTTCTCCGATCTCTCTCCCGCAAACTCACCTGCAATTGATGAGAATGATCAAAACTCACTTCGTGTTAAATTATTTCTTCAAGCATTGCAATTATTTATTTAGATAAGAAAAATAATATTATATATACACTCCAGTAGGATTATGGAGACAACCTTTCCAGTTTTCGCTTCTTGTTCACCAACAACCAATATATACAGTAGTTGTACTGCGCATCGTGAGCTTCCCATATCATATCTGCAGAAAATATAAGACGTCGGATTCTAATAAGAAAAGAGAAAGGAAAATCATTGTATAGATGAAGGTTGAAATGAACCTTTCTCTGCATCTTTCTATTGCTTGTATCGACGTCAACATAGGAACCCGCTTGCTGAATTTGATCCCGCAGCTATAGAAATACAGAAAGAGATAATCTGATGAAAAAATCAAACTAAAATGAAATTTTGTACAATAATGAACATGTCAACTGATCCCTTTGTAATGCTCCAACAGTATCGCAAACATACGCTCAACTGATCCCAGTATGGCTCTGTGTCTCATAACAGGTCTTTCCATCTTGGCTTCATCTTCGGCTGAGTAAACCAAGTTGAATCGATCAGGTACCTGGAAGTCGAGCTGTGATTGTAATTAACCCAGACATTCATCTATTAAGTTATAATTCTTCACCACTACAAGAAAAGGCAAAGCAAAATAACAATGACCATCACAAACCTATAATGTTGCACACTGAAATTTCCTCCTCAATGCATCTGATACACAGATGTCTATTTTTGGTCCATAAAATGCTCCATGTCCTTCTTTTATCTGCACTTTATGCGATAATACGAACAAAGGTCACAGAAAGCCAACATAAATGGACATTTATAATTTATTAAAGGTAAAGAAAAAAATTACCTGCCAGGGTTTACCAAACTCAGTCAATGCTTCTGTAAGAGCAGCTTCGGCTTTCTCCCATGTGGCCAAGTTACCCAGATAATTTTCTGGCCTCTGAAATGAAGTATTTGTGACAAAAAATTAATGAAATAATCCATTTGAGCACTCAAAGAAGTATTTTGTGGATACAGTGATGGATATCATATATTCCACTTCAATACTGTTAGAAAAGATAAAGGAGAAGAAATATCATACAGTTGATAGCTTCAGCTCATATTTGAACCCGAATATCGTGTAAGCATAATCGATGAATTCCAGGACACCTCTTACTTCATCTTTTATCTGAAAAATGAACAATAATTATTGCAACATATCTACAATCAACAAAAACAGAAACTTTTTGTGAGATATCAATCAAACTCAACTCACCTGGGACTCCCTGCAGAAAATATGAGCATCATCCTGTAAAAAAAAAAACCAGATTAAAAATTATCAAAAGAATGGTATTTTTCCAAACCAACAAATAAATTCAAGGGAGAAATGAAACTATGAATGATAATATTCTTCAAGAGAATAGTGACGTTTTTCTACCGTGCTCGAGGATGTAGGTAACAATATCCAACCTCATTAAAATTCTTGGTGTTCTTTATTTTTGCATTTATTTTGGTTTTAATAGTTGTTGTTATTATATTTAAATTGTCATCGTTAGAGATTATGTTTCCTCTACACAACAATATATTGCTTGTGTTGCTCTTCATCTTCATTGTGCTTTGTGTATATTTACAATGTTTATTCACAAAGTATCACACAGCTTTCTTGAAAAATAAACTAATTCCTAACAAATTCATATTAACATAAGACAGGCCATATAAATCCTAATTCCTAAAGCTAAACTCAAATAAGAACCCTAAATAAAATAGCATTATTAAGGTAACATGAAATTTGTCTTGTTCATAAAGCAGGTGTTAACTAAAGAAATAATGCATGTTTCATAATTTTTCAAATTTCACTTACACACAATTATATTGAACAAGAGACAGTCCCTTTTATTAAATACTTAAAAGAGTCAATGGGTGTAAATAAATGGGGCATTTAGCATCACTTTTTTTTTTTTTTTTTCCTGATGATTGGAGGTGTCTGGATCAACGCATACTTCAATTAATCTCCTAGATCCTAGAATTACCGAGGTAAGAGCTCTAATTAGGGGTGTAATCGAGTCGAATATTTGATAAATCGAACTCAACTCGATCGCTACAGTACCAAGTTCGAGCATGAGAAATCAAGTTCAAACTTGAACTTGGTACTTGAAATTGGAAATCGAGTTCGTATAATCGAGTTTTTTTCAAGTTTTAGTCGAATTATTTTTTAGTTTTAAATCGAGTTTGAGTTCAAACTCGTTTTTGAGCTCATATAACAATGGTGGATTTACATATTTTATAACTTTTAAATTCATATAACCCTATTACTTTAAAAACTATCAACTTAACCATCGAACTCACGAGTTATTTGACTCGATCTTCACCTTTAGATCCAGTGGCTCTTACCTAGTGGAATTTGGCCCAATTATCTCCAAACTGACCACATGCTGTGAACCCAGATGGAATTTGGCCCACTTTGCCTCTAAATAGTAAATAATAATGTGATATATTGACCGCCCTAACTAGAATAGTTTTCCCAATGTTAAAGTAGAAAGGAAAGGACAAAAATATATAAAGAGAAAAGAGGGTGGCTTTATTTACCCAATAATATTTCATTTAAGTGTTTTGCTTATTCATTCTCTCGTTTTAAGTCATGAATCAAATAATTTTTATCATGATTTATCAATATTTGTTGACCTCATATATCATCTACATAATTATTAAAATAAAGAATAGTATAACTTTAAATTAAAGGTCCGTTTGGTTCATTATTTGATAGTTTTTAGAATAATATTTTGAAAAAAAAATAAATTGGATGGGTATTACAATGTAGAATTTTAAAAATTAACAAAAATATTTCATATATTTGTTTATTTACTAAACATCTCTATAATAAAATATTCAAAGTTAACAAAAATACCCCTAACCCACTCATTAAATACGGACAGCCGGCCACTACCGTCGGAGGGTGGTCGGAGTCGTGCGCCGATATGACACTTTCCTGCCAGATTTATGGTGGATCTGGTCGAAAAATGTCAAATCTACTGTTAGATTTAGCCATTAATGGCTAGATCTAGTCGCATTTGGTGGTCAACAATGGCCAAAGATATGGCCGTCGTTAAAGGTAAACGACGACCATATCTTAGCTGTTGTTGACGACTGTCTACGGCCAAAGATCTGACCGTTACAGCCAGATTTTTTGACGTAGATCTGACATTTTTCGGTCAGATCTACTATGGATCTAGCTGGAAAATACTAGATTAGTGCACTACCGGTCAGATTCAGCTGGTAGTATGTCATTACACTAGATTCCGATCAGTTTCTAGCAGTGGTGGACAGAATCTGGTAAATGTAGGTTGTTGGGGTGTTTTTGTTAATTTTTAAATTTTTTTGGGTTGTTTAGGTAAATTAACAAATTTAAAGAGTTTAAAAGAAATTAAATAATTTAGAATAATTATTTTGATAATAGTAAACCAAACATAAATTGTGTTTAACTTTATTGGTATTCCCAAACTATATACCAAACGGAGCCTAAAACACTTTAATCGGAGTCAAAATCAATAAAACCCACCCAACCTTTTTATCCGTAAAGACAAACACCACATGATATAAACAATGCTTTATTCTGTCAATCACAAAGCTTAATCAAACTTCCTTTGTCCTCTAATCCACAACCTCATTTGTGGGGTGTACATTCATTTAAAAATATAAAAATAAAAACAAAAACACATGAATAATTATTTTTATTGGCCTCAAAATAATACGAAAATGACCCTAATTATTTTGACCTTATTTTTCCCGCTTCTCACAATAATTAATTATGTATATCCAAATACAAATAAGTAAATAAATAATACAATAAAATAAATAACTGACTATATATAAAAAGGAAAACAAAACCCTTCCCGCGAAGTAAAGCCCATCTGTATTCTCTAGTGCAACGCTTTTATTTTCTTTTTCCTCTTTTGTTTTCTCTTTTCTGCACCTATTATGTATAGTGGGCAATGTGACTTGTGCCTCTCTCAGTCTTCGGTTGACTCCTTGGTTGGCTGTACACTTCGTTTGGTGCTCTAGCAAAAGAGGATGAACAAGGGTTTATAGTTTTGTACGTATTCTCTTGATAATGTACTTATTGTTTGATTAGAGTTATTTTTGTGCTATGTTTTGTGGGTTTGTTTCTGATTGTGATTTTGACATCTGGGCCGCTTTAATTTTTTTATTTTTTGATGGTTAATTCTTGATTTGAGGGGGGATTTTGTGTTTTCCCGGTGTTGAATGAGTTGAACTTAGTGGGTTTTTGGTTATTGATTGGACAGTTTTGAGGTTTTTGTTTGGAAAATTTGTTGATTGGGGTTGTTCTTCACAGTGACTTGATGAAATTTTTAGAGATGCTTTGGCTGTTACTTTTCTGAATTGAAATATTTGCACGTTTAGGTTGGACTTGTGGCAGTTATATTGTATTATCTTTGATCAGCACTTGAGGCTGTTGTTATAATTTGTATTTGACATGTTGTTTATCTGCATCTTCAGCAGCATACAGTAAACAAAGATGAATTTGTATAGTGTACTGGAGCCGATCCTCCTTGATGTAATCAAGGTGATCAGTCCGTTGCAGGCGGATAGGGAGACTAGATTGGCTATCATGTCTGAATTACGAGATGTTGTTGTATCTGTGGAAAGTTTGAGAGGTAATTTCTTTTGCATTTTGATTATTCTGTTTTTTCCCCTTTCATATCAAGTTGTTAATGTTTATCTGATGTTTGAAGAATATGTAGATAAAGATGCTTATTTATTTATATAAAAAAAGTTGAGCAATATCTTATGCTACTTCCTTTTAAAACCTTTGTATGCCAAGCTGTATATAGTTAGAGCACTCTTGTGTACGGACCCATGTTTTGAATATTTCATATGGGAAACTATGTAAATTCCTCAATGGCTTAAGCTTGTTTACTCCTTATTTATTTTTTATTTTTAACTCTCAATGAGATAAATTATAGTATTATACAATGTAAAATTCATGCTTAATTGTTGCAACTTGCAAACAGGTGCAACTGTGGAGCCATTTGGATCATTTCCCCCCCCCCCCCCCTCCTTTCTCATTTGCCGTAACTCTTCGCCGTAATCCCTAGTAGCCACTCCTATTACTGGCTAGGTAAAAGCCCTAGTACGCCATTCCTATTATATCTGGAGGGACTCGAACTCAAGATTCTCATGAAATCTTTTTTACTCTTTTATCATCGGCCACCCAATGCTGGTACAAAAGAAGGTTTTGATCGAAGAAAGTAAAGCAAAACAGGAATGGAGAGACAAGTCTGATCTCTCAAATAGATCATGTATATTTACTGTAATTTTGAACACTTAAAATTCAATCAAACTTATTCCATTAATAATTGAGATATATATCACTAATACAGTAATTGTAATTGTTTATTGTAAATAAGAATATGGTTATTGTATAGGCCTCTGTTTTGTCGTTGAATAGGCTGAGTAAGCTCTCAATGCTCATAACTGAAAAGTTTCTCCGATCTCTCTCCCCCACACTCACCTGCAATTGATGAGAATGATCAAAACTCACTTCGTGTTAAATTATTTCTTCAGCATTGCAATTATTTATTTAGATAAGAAAATAATATTATATATCACTCCATAGGATTATGGAGACAACCTTCCAGTTTTCGCTTCTTGTTCACCAACAACCAATATATACAGTAGTTGTACTGCGCATCGTGAGCTTCCCATATCATATCTGCAGAAAATATAAGACGTCGGATTCTAATAAGAAAAGAGAAAGGAAAATCATTGTATAGATGAAGGTTGAATGAACCTTTCTCTGCATCTTTCTATCGCTTGTCTTTACGTCAACATAGTACCCCGCTTGCTGAATTTGATCCCGCAGCTATAGAAATACAGAAAGAGATAATCTGATGAAAAATCAAACTAATATGAATTTAGTACAATAATGAACATGTCACAATATTCTACTACCTGTATCGCATATGCTGCGATTTCTCCGAGACAGGCAAACATCGCTTGACGGGGATTGAGCCAAGGGCCTTTCCAATATGCTCTGTGTATCATAACAGCTGTCGATCAGGTACCTGGAAGTCGAGCTGTGATTGTGATTAACCCAGACATTCATCTATTAAGTTATAATCTTCACCACTACAAGAAAGGCAAAGCAAAATAACCATGACCATCACAAACCTATAATGTTGCACACTGAAATTTCCTCCTCAATGCATCTGTACACAGATTCTATTTTTGGTCCATAAAATGCTCCATGTTCTTCTTTTATCTGCACTTTATGCGATATACGAACAAGGTCACAGAAAGCCCACATAATGGACATTATAATTATTAAAGTAAGAAAAAATTACCTGCCAGGGTTTACCAAACTCAGTCAATCTTCTGTAAGCAGCACTCGGCTTTCTCCCATGTGGCCAAGTTACCCAGATAATTTTCTGGCCTCTGAAATGAAGTATTTGTGACAAAAATTAATGAATAATCCATTTGAGCACTCAAGAAGTATTTTGTGGATACAGTGATGGATTCATATATTCCACTTCAATACTGTAAAAAAGATAAGGAGAAAAATATCATACAGTTGATAGCTTCAGCTCATATTTGAACCCGAATTTGTGTGGCATAATCGATGAATTCCAGGACACCCTCTTACTTCATCTTTATCTGAAAAATGAACAATAATTATTGCAACATATCTACAATCAACAAAACAGAAACTTTTTGTGAGATTCAATCAAACTCAACTCACCTGGACTCCCTGCAGAAAATATGAGCATCATCCTGTAAAAAAAAACCAGATTAAAATTATCAAAAGAATGGTATTTTTCCAAACCACAAATAAATTCAAGGGAGAAATGAAACTATGAATGATAATATTCTTCAAGAGATATGGAGTTTTTCTACCGTGCTCGAGGATGTAGGTAACATATCCAACCTCATTAAAATTCTTGGTGTTCTTTATTTTTGCATTTATTTTGGTTTTAATAGTTGTTGTTATTATATTTAAATTGTCATCGTTAGAGATTATGTTTCCTCTACACAACTATATTGCTTGTGTTGCTCTTCATCTTCATGTGCTTTGTGTATTTACAATGTTTATTCACAAGTATCACACAGCTTTCTTGAAAAATAACTAATTCCTACACAATTCCTAAAGCAACTCAAATAAGAACCCTAAATAAATAGCTTATTAATTTTAACATGAAATTTGTCTTGTTCATAAGCAGGTGTTAACTAAGAAATAATGCATGTTTCATAATTTTTCAATTTCACTTACACACAATTATATAAACAAGAGACAGTCCCTTTTATTAAATACTTAAACAACAATGGGTGTAAAAAAATGGGGCATTTAGCATCACTTTTTTTTTTTTTTTCCCTGATGATTGGAGATGTCTGGACCAACGCATACTTCAATTAATCTCCTAGATCCTATAACTACCGAGGTAAGAGCTCCAATTAGGGTGTAATCGAGTCGATATCTGGTAAATCGAACTCAACTCGATCGCTACAGTATCAAGTTCGAGCATGAGAACAAGTTCAAACTCAACTTGGTACTTGAAATTGGAAATCGAGTTCGTGTAATCGAGTTTTTTTCAAGTTTTAGTCGAATTACTTTTTATTTTTAAATCGAGTTCGAGTTCGAACTCGTTTTTGAGCTCATATAACAGGTGGATTTACAAATTTTATAACTTTTAATTACATATAACCCTATTACTTTAAAAGCTATCAACTTAACCATTGAATTATATTATGATCGAACTCAGCTCGATTAACTACTCGAACTCGAACTCGACTTAACTACATCGAGTCAGTTCCCAATATTGAGTCGATTTCGAGTAGCTCGAGAGCTACTTGACTTGATTTTTACCCCTAGCTTTAGTGGCTCTTACCTAGTGGAATTTGGCCCAATTATCTCCAAATGACCACATGCTGAGAACCCAGATGGAATTTGACCCATTTGCCTCTAAATAGTAAATAATAATGTGATATATTGACTGCTCTAACTAGAATATTTTTCCCAATGTTAAAGTAGAAAGGAAGGACAAAAATATATAAAGAAAAAGAGGTGCGCTTTATTTACCCAATATATTTCTTAATGTAATATTTGATATTTTCCTAAAATCCTAAATCTTCTTGTATTCAAAGATTCTATGAACTGCCAATCGTCATGCTGTTTAATTAGGCTCGGAAACAGGACGTAATCAGAATTGGTAGTATGTGCTGTCAAAAGATTAAATTTAATAAATTTATAATAAAATATATATTGAAATGATAAACATAACAAAAATTGGAATCTAAGGTTTCGTTTTATTCATTTTTGATAAACAATAAAATATCATTATTTTTAAAATATTATTATATATTTTTTAATTTTTTTTAAACCTCTTAAATTTATTAATTTAAATAAATACTCCAAAATTTTTTTTTTTTAGAAATTGCAAAAACACTTCGGCCACCCTCTGACGGTGGTGGCCGGCTGTCCATATTTAATAGATGGATTAGAGGTGTTTTTGTTAACTTTTAATATTTTATTATAGAGGTGTTTAGTAAATAAACAAACATAGGAGATATTTTTGTTAATTTCCAAATCTTATATCGTAATACCCATCAGATTTAACTTTTTTCAAAAGATTAGTTTAAAAACTATCAGAATAATGAATCAAACAGAGCCTAAGAATTTATCAATTCTATAATTGTTATAGACGATTTTTTATATCTTAACTATATTTTTCACTCAATATATATAATAAAATAATCATTTAATAACTAATTTCTCATTCGATTTTATAGTCAATTTTTTATAATCTTTATCATAGAAAATGCACTTTCAAAAACCAAACGTATTACCTAAAGTTAACTAAACTCAGCTTATTCAACATAGAATTATGTCAATTACAAATATAAAATGATAAAAACAACTAAACAATATAATTGATGATCGTTCATCAATTAAGAAGAATAGAATAAGAGATTTTTAAGCAAAATAAAAAAAATGAGCATCATCTTACAGAGTTAATCTTTAATACAAACGAATGGTTTTTCTTGATTAATCCAATCAAAGGAAAAAGAAAGTATGAGAAAAACCAAGAAAGGGAGAAAACATGAAAATAAATGTGTATTTTCAAATTCTGAGATCAATAAAATATGAAAATATCTTAATGAGGTTAATATAATATGGGTAATTTTAGTAGGATCAATATAAATTTTAGTGGAATCAAAATTATTAATTACTATAAAATATATACTTATTTTTAATAATTTCCGAATTCTTGATTCTGAAAAGCATTGTTGGTGATAATTAATTGTCACAAATGTTCTCCAAATTGATTCCGTGAAGATAAAACTATATGCTGCATGATGCATGTGTTGTTGTAGGAATAAGTATTTGCGTTTGGAATAATATATTCTTGAAGAACATATGCATCATAAGTACCATAAATTTAAGCTACAATTCTATTGAAACTTCAGGACCAATAAAGATGGTGAAGGCATGGCTAAAGTTTCACCAGAAGTTACAAGGGTCTAATAAAGCTACAAAACCAGCAAAGTGAACACAAAAGAAGTAGTAAAAAATGATGGAAAAAAGGGGGGGTTTTTTGGGGTTTTCTGAAGTACAGGGGATTAAAATGAAAATTTAACAACAAAAGTTTTAAAAAATGAAACCCCCCCNAGACATTCATCTATTAAGTTATAATTCTTCACCACTACAAGAAAAGGCAAAGCAAAATAACAATGACCATCACAAACCTATAATGTTGCACACTGAAATTTCCTCCTCAATGCATCTGATACACAGATGTCTATTTTTGGTCCATAAAATGCTCCATGTTCTTCTTTTATCTGCACTTTATGCGATAATACGAACAAAGGTCACAGAAAGCCAACATAAATGGACATTTATAATTTATTAAAGGTAAAGAAAAAAATTACCTGCCAGGGTTTACCAAACTCAGTCAATGCTTCTGTAAGAGCAGCTTCGGCTTTCTCCCATGTGGCCAAGTTACCCAGATAATTTTCTGGCCTCTGAAATGAAGTATTTGTGACAAAAAATTAATGAAATAATCCATTTGAGCACTCAAAGAAGTATTTTGTGGATACAGTGATGGATATCATATATTCCACTTCAATACTGTTAGAAAAGATAAAGGAGAAGAAATATCATACAGTTGATAGCTTCAGCTCATATTTGAACCCGAATATCGTGTAAGCATAATCGATGAATTCCAGGACACCTCTTACTTCATCTTTTATCTGAAAAATGAACAATAATTATTGCAACATATCTACAATCAACAAAAACAGAAACTTTTTGTGAGATATCAATCAAACTCAACTCACCTGGGACTCCCTGCAGAAAATATGAGCATCATCCTGTAAAAAAAAAAACCAGATTAAAAATTATCAAAAGAATGGTATTTTTCCAAACCAACAAATAAATTCAAGGGAGAAATGAAACTATGAATGATAATATTCTTCAAGAGAATAGTGACGTTTTTCTACCGTGCTCGAGGATGTAGGTAACAATATCCAACCTCATTAAAATTCTTGGTGTTCTTTATTTTTGCATTTATTTTGGTTTTAATAGTTGTTGTTATTATATTTAAATTGTCATCGTTAGAGATTATGTTTCCTCTACACAACAATATATTGCTTGTGTTGCTCTTCATCTTCATTGTGCTTTGTGTATATTTACAATGTTTATTCACAAAGTATCACACAGCTTTCTTGAAAAATAAACTAATTCCTAACAAATTCATATTAACATAAGACAGGCCATATAAATCCTAATTCCTAAAGCTAAACTCAAATAAGAACCCTAAATAAAATAGCATTATTAAGTTAACATGAAATTTGTCTTGTTCATAAAGCAGGTGTTAACTAAAGAAATAATGCATGTTTCATAATTTTTCAAATTTCACTTACACACAATTATATTAAACAAGAGACAGTCCCTTTTATTAAATACTTAAACAAGAAATGGGTGTAAAAAAATGGGGCATTTAGCATCACTTTTTTTTTTTTTTCCCTGATGATTGGAGATGTCTGGACCAACGCATACTTCAATTAATCTCCTAGATCCTATAACTACCGAGGTAAGAGCTCCAATTAGGGGTGTAATCGAGTCGAATATCTGGTAAATCGAACTCAACTCGATCGCTACAGTATCAAGTTCGAGCATGAGAAATCAAGTTCAAACTCAAACTTGGTACTTGAAATTGGAAATCGAGTTCGTGTAATCGAGTTTTTTTCAAGTTTTAGTCGAATTACTTTTTAGTTTTAAATCGAGTTCGAGTTCGAACTCGTTTTTGAGCTCATATAACAGGGATGGATTTACAAATTTTATAACTTTTAAATTACATATAACCCTATTACTTTAAAAGCTATCAACTTAACCATTGAATTATATTATGATCGAACTCAGCTCGATTAACTACTCGAACTCGAACTCGACTTAACTAACATCGAGTCAAGTTCAAGCCAATATTGAGTCGAGTTCGAGTAGCTCGAGAGCTACTTGACTTGATTTTTACCCCTAGCTTTAGTGGCTCTTACCTAGTGGAATTTGGCCCAATTATCTCCAAACTGACCACATGCTGAGAACCCAGATGGAATTTGACCCACTTTGCCTCTAAATAGTAAATAATAATGTGATATATTGACTGCTCTAACTAGAATAGTTTTCCCAATGTTAAAGTAGAAAGGAAAGGACAAAAATATATAAAGAGAAAAGAGGGTGGCTTTATTTACCCAATAATATTTCTTTTAAGTGTTTTGCTTATTCATTCCCTCTTTTTTAAGTCATGAATCAAATAATTTTTATCATGATTTATCAATATTTGTTGATCTCATATATCATCTATATAATTATTAAAATAAAGAATATAATAACTTTAAATTAAGGGTCCATTTGGTTCATTATTTGATAGTTTTTAGAATAATATTTCGAAAAAAAGTTAAATTGGATGGGTATTACGATGTAAAATTTTAAAAATTAATAAAAATACCCCATATATTTGTTTATTTACTAAACACCCCTATAATAAAATATTCAAAGTTAACAAAAACACCCCCAACCCACTCATTAAATATGGATAGTTGGTCACCACCGCCGGAGGGTGGCCGGAGTCGCCGTATCGGTGTATGAACGGCTGGATCTTGCCGATCGTGTGCCAATATGACCTTTTTCGACCAGATCTATGGTGGATTTGGCCAAAAAATGCCAAATCTACGGCTAGATTTGGCCAACAACGGCCAAGATATGGTCGTCGTTGACTTGACCAGATTTTTGTTCGTAGATCTGGTCGGAAAAGGCCAGATTCAGCCGCTAGTGTGCCATTACATCAGATTCCGACTAGCTTCCGACAGTGATGGTTGGAATATGGTAAATGTGGGTTGCTGGGGTTTTTTTGTCAATAATTTTTTTTAGATTGTTTAGTTAAATTAACAAATTTAAGGGGTTTAAAAGGAATTGAATAATTTAGAATAATATTTTGATAATAGTGAACCAAACATAAATTGTGTTGAACTTTATTGGTATTCCCAAACTATGTACCAAAGGGAGCCTAAAACACTTTAATTGGAGTCAAAATCAATAAAACCCACCCAACCTTTTTATCCTTAAAGACATACACCACATGATATAAACTATGCTTTATTCTGTCAATCCCAAAGCTTAATCAAACTTCCTTTGTCCTTTAATCCACAACCTCATTTGTGGGGTGTACATTCATTTAAAAATATAAAAATAAAAACAAAAACACATAAATAATTATTTTTATTGGCCTCAAAATAATATGAAAATGACCTTATATATTTTGACCTTATTTTTCCCGCTTCTCACAATAATTGATTATGTATATCCAAATACAAATACGTAAATAAATAATACAATAAAATATATAACTAACTATGTATAAAAGGAGAAACAAAACCCTTCCCGCGAAGTAAAGCCCATCGGTATTCTCTAGTGCAACACTTTATTTTCTTTTTCCTCTTTTGTTTTCTCTTTTCTGCACCTATTATGTATAGTGGGCAATGTGACTTGTGCCTCTCTAAGTCTTCGGTTGACTCCTTGGTTGGCTGTACACTTAGTTTGGTGCTCTAGCAGAAGAGGATGGACAAGGGTTTATAGTTTTGTACGTATTCTCTTGATAATGTACTTATTGTTTGGTTAGAGTTATTTTTGTGCTATGTTTTGTGGGTTTGTTTCTGATTGTGATTTTGACATCTGGGTCGCTTTAATTTTTTTATTTTTTGATGGTTAATTCTTGATTTGAGGGGGGATTTTGTGTTTTCCCGGTGTTGAATGAGTTGAACTTAGTGGGTTTTTGGTTATTGATTGGACAGTTTTGAGGTTTTTGTTTGGAAAATTTGTTGATTGGGGTTGTTCTTCACAGTGACTTGATGAAATTTTTAGAGATGCTTTGGCTGTTACTTTTCTGAATTGAAATATTTGCACGTTTAGGTTGGACTTGTGGCAGTTATATTGTATTATCTTTGATCAGCACTTGAGGCTGTTGTTATAATTTGTATTTGACATGTTGTTTATCTGCATCTTCAGCAGCATACAGTAAACAAAGATGAATTTGTATAGTGTACTGGAGCCCATCCTCCTTGATGTAATCAAGGTGATCAGTCCGTTGCAGGCGGATAGGGAGACTAGATTGGCTATCATGTCTGAATTACGAGATGTTGTTGTATCTGTGGAAAGTTTGAGAGGTAATTTATTTTGCATTTTGATTATTCTGTTTTTTCCCCTTTCATATCAAGTTGTTAATGTTTATCTGATGTTTGAAGAATATGTAGATAAAGATGCTTATTCATTTATATAAAAAAAGTTGAGCAATATCTTATGCTACTTCCTTTTAAAACCTTTGTATGCCAAGCTGTATATAGTTAGAGCACTCTTGTGTACAGACTCATGTTTTGAATATTTCATATGGGAAACTATGTAAATTCCTCAATGGCTTAAGCTTGTTTACTCCTTATTTATTTTTTATTTTTAACTCTCAATGAGATAAATTATAGTATTATACAATGTAAAATTCATGCTTAATTGTTGCAACTTGCAAACAGGTGCAACTGTGGAGCCATTTGGATCATTTCTGTCAAATCTCTTCACACGTGGGGGAGACTTGGATATTTCTGTTGATTTACCTAATAGTTCATATATTTCATCTGCTGGAAAGAAGCGGAAACAAAATTTGCTTGGAGAATTACAGAGAGCTTTGAGAAAGAGAGGTTCTTTGGTTTAATTTCCCGTTTTATAGTCTCATGTTCTCTCTTGTCTCAAGTACACATTTATTTTAAGCATAAACTCTCAAGAAGAATCATGCAGCTTTTATAGCTTCCAGAGACTAAATCACCTTTTGTTCACATAAAGACAGCTCATGATATAGTATGAATTCTCAAAATAAAATGGCCTCAGTATAATCATTTGGGGAAAGGAGTAGTTCAATTTCGCTGTATTTAATTATTTAAGTTTTCTGAACCCCCACCTGAGGAATAAGTATCAAACTGTACTGATTCTAACTTTTTTGATTTCAAGTTTTACATGTAAAATCATTAGTGTGATAAGGGAAAGAAGATTTGTTGAATAAGAAAGGGAAGATTGCATCTGCTGTAACAAGTTTCATACCAACTTGTGTTCTGTCCATAAGGGGAAAGGAGTAGTTTTATGGTGACATGTTCATGTTTTGATCAAGTACTTACAATACTTATTTTATGTCAACATTGATCTGCAGGTGAATTCCGCAAGTTGCAATTAATCGCCAATGCAAGAGTTCCAATTTTAAAACTTGAGAGTAACCACCAGAACATCTCTTGTGATATATCAATAGATAACATGGCAGGTCAAATGAAATCTATATTCTTGTTTTGGATCAATGAGATAGATGGACGCTTCCGCAACATGGTTTTATTGGTACATTCTTTTGGCAAAGCAGCAGTTACTTTTTAGGTTGGTCCAACTATCTTATGCAGAGTTTCTTGCTTGTGCAGGTCAAGGAATGGGCAAAAGCTCATAATATAAATAATCCAAAAAATGGGACATTGAACTCATACTCTCTCAGCTTGCTTGTGGTCTTCCATTTTCAGGTGATGCTTGCTATCTTTGTTTCCAATGTCAGTCCATTATGAGACATTTCTGCTTTAACTGCTTTATGCATTACATCTATATTTATGACATGGATTTTGTTTGCTAAGAGGCGTCATGAAATGGTCAAAACTTGTGTTTAATTTTTTTATTTATGTACTCTTGCAGACATGTGTACCTGCAATTTTTCCCCCGCTAAGAGATATATATTCACAAAATCTTGTTGCTGAACTTCAAGGTCTGCTTTATCTTTCTGTAGTTCTTCAAAATATGAGTTAAGAGAAATAAATTCACAAAATCTTGTTGCTGAACTTCAACACATTTTTTATCTTTTTGTAGTTCTTCAAAATATGAGTTAAGAGTGTCCATGTATCACTTTTTGTTTCACTGTTGTGATAGTAAAGCCTTAAAAGTTTATTCAGGTTTAGAGAACTGGAGATAATCTAAAAAAGCAATGCTGCCTTCACTTTCCTATCTTGCTTTTTCTTGAGCTTGAACCACCGAAGGAAAGAAAAATAAATGATGGTTTATAGTACATATGTCTTGTTGAGCAGGCAATGGAATCAGATGTAATAGTCAGAGATGATTCCTCCAACTAAAGAAATCAAACAAAAAGAGAAAAGCCCTCAAGTAAATATAAGCTACTGTACAGACCAAGCTAGTTTTGATTTTAATGCTATTATTGCATACTTGATGATGTTGGTAAAGCCATTTGAAGTTTTAAACCAGATTTTGGACTTGTAGTGTTACATTGTGAAATACCATATGAGTCTTTGTGTTGAGGGATACATGTAAGGAGAAAAGAAAGGTGAATTAAATTATAAAGTGTAGAGAGATACAGGAGATACATTTCTGATAGACACTTTCTTCCAATGTGCCTAATGCAGGTGTGCGGGCCGTTGTAGAGGGAAATATTAGAGAGACGTGGACTACAAACATTGCCAGGTTTAGATCTGACAAAAGAAGAAAAATTAATCGGAGTTCTTTGTCAGAGCTTTTCCATTCTTTCATTGCAAAGGTAATTCATGTCATGGTTCCTTTCTTTTAGAAGAATGTGGAATCATTTGGTGGGTAAATTTTTGTGGCCCTTTTTCTATAATGTTCAGAAAGTATTACTTATACAATATAATGGTGCTCCGTATTTCTGATTCACGCAAACAAAAAAAACTTCCTTTGTGTAATTTTATACCATCCCTTTTAAGCATATGTAGTTTGTGAATTAGTGCATTGACATTTGACATCATGCTTTTTGTACACTTTTTCCAGTTTTGTGCTATAAGTTCAAAGGCCTCAGAACTTGGAATTTGCCCTTTCACGGGACGATGGGAGCTCATAGAAAGTAATATGAGATGGTTGCCCAACAATCACTCGTTATTTGTAACTCTCTCCCCCTTTCTTCTCTATATATAGTGGTCATGTTCATTCCCCTATCTTCAAGTCCCACACAATTTAATTTTTTGCCACTGCTGATGACTGGTTAGATTGAGGATCCTTTTGAGAGGCCGGCAAACTGTGCCCGAGCTGTAAGTGCCAAGCAATTGCCCAGGATATCTGAAGCCTTTGAGAAAACCCACTTCAGGCTCAACTCAGCTATTCATGATCAGAATTCGCTGCTTCCCATACTAACCAGGCCACAAACATCAATTATCATTTCAAGAGGTAGGCACCCAAGAAGCAACAATGGTAGATATCCAAAATCACAAACGCTAGTGCACAATTCCGTGCATTCACCCTCTCCAGTGCAACATCAAACCCAGAACAAGAGGCTGGAAAATCGTCCCAGCACATCAATGGTGCAACAATTTCATACTCAACCTGTGCAACAATATAATGTTCAACAATTAAATGTTCAACCTGTGCAAAGATATCCGCATGGTCAACATTATCAAGGCCAACCTGTGCAGCAAAATGAAGGCCAACCTGCGCGGCAATATCGCAGTCAAGCGCGGCGGAAGTGGAGGCCAAAACCTTCTGATAAATAGAAAGGCTTGCATGAGTTTCTGCCCAGTTTTTTTTTATTTGAAGGGTAATGTACTATGCAAAAACTTATATAAGACAAAATTCAGTTATGCTGCCACCCCATTGGATTAAAGTTTATGTGTGCTCGAGTCCTTTGGGGTGCATTAATGAGACCAGTGATCTTGCAATCCAACAAATTTGGTTGGAAGTTGAAGTTTAGTATCATAAATTTAAGTAATTCAATTTATTAATCAATGATTAAACTATTGTATCTTAATTCTTTTAATTATGAGAATTAATCAGAAAAATTAAATTTAATTAATCTTTAAAATCACTAAATAAATGTGTTGCTTAGTTGCCCAACAAAATGATACCTATTTTATTTTTATAAAAAAATAAATCCTTTATATATTAAATTGAATTTGATTGGTTAATAATTTGATTTAATTTCATTTGCCGTAACGTAAGGACTAAGGCGGCTTCGATCGTTAATAAGCAAAATCTTATTTCTTTCATTTTCACCCTCACCGCCAAAACTTTACACGCGCACACACACTCCATACTCAAAGGCTTTACACGGCACAAGTAAGCTCGCATGGATCTTCAACTTCAATTCATCAAAACGACACCGTGAAAAGTCTACTTCTCCAACGTCAAGATCTAAATCTCCAGCTCCACTTCACTGCCGAACAATGAATCCACTCTCCAACCCAAATCTCATCAAGCTCTCCGCCTTCATTTTCCTCTCCTTCGCTTTCTTCTACCTCGGCAAACACTGGTCCGATGGCTACCAGCAACTCGTCTTCTTCTCCACCTTTCGCTCCTCTCAAGACGCCGCCGTTTCAATGTCCCCAAACTCCAACAAATCCTACGACATTTCCTCCCTCATTGCGGACAATGAAACACAATCTCAATCTCAGTTCAATCTCGTTCCGTCTCCATCTCCATCTCCGCCGTCCGATTCGATCAAGAAGTTCGGGATCATAACCGAGGACGGAACTATGTCCGACAAGTTTGAAGTCGGGGAGTACGATACGGATTTGGTGGAAACCGAGTGGGACAACGATAACGGGACGGAGAAAACGGAGAGCAGTGCTGGTAGGGTTCAGATTAAGAGGTTCTCCCTGTGTTCCGAGAGTATGAGGGAGATTATTCCGTGTCTGGATAACTTGGAGGCAATTAAAAGGTTGAAGTCCACGGATAAAGGGGAGAAATTCGAGCGACATTGTCCTCAAAACGGAACCGGATTGAATTGCTTGGTTCCGCCTCCTAAAGGCTACAGGCAGCCCATTCCGTGGCCCAGAAGTCGAGATGAGGTATTGTGGCTTTCTTTTTAGGTTATACGATTTAGTAGACCGTTTAAAATATTCTAATTACGTAATGAGTTGCATTGTTAATTGATTAAATGAGTATTGATTAGTGGAAAACCTGGAGTTATATTGTTTCGATTTAATATTTGTTTCTTTAGCTGGAAATTTAGTCGGAGTATAATGAGAACGGTAGGTCAAACGGATCGGACTTAGTTGAAGGAATGGCCTACTAAGTCATACTGATTAGCAGGTTGACAAATCTATTAAATCAATTGGTGTCTCTCTCTTTAATATAGCAATAAAAAAGTCAATTTATTGAATTTTTACTAAAAAAACTAACGTATAGATCGTTGGATCACTGCATTACTTACCGGGGATTATATTTTCATGCATGATTGACCTAATTTTGTTCGCTATTTGTGGCACAAGTGTTGTAAAATGTAGTTCCTTTCATCCAATCCATATCCATTCTTTGTAGAATGTAGAGATGCTATGGATAAACATGTTTTAGCCTTACGGGTTTCTGCTACTTTGGAAATTCCACTTCATTGTAGGTATGGTACAGCAACGTTCCTCATACAAAACTAGTTGAAGATAAAGGAGGTCAAAACTGGATTTCAAAAGAAAAGGATAAGTTCAAGTTTCCAGGAGGTGGTACGCAGTTTATACATGGGGCTGATCAATACTTGAATCAGTTCTCTCAGGTTATTAAATTCTGTATCTAACATTTGAATGGAAAGAAACAATTATTTAGCGTATCTTGCATTCTGATGTTCAAATTCTCATCTGTATGTATAGATGGTGCCTGATATTACATGGGGTAATCAAACCAGAGTTGTTATCGATGTTGGATGTGGCGTGGCAAGTTTTGGTGCCTATTTGTTATCACGGAATGTCTTGACTATGTCTGTAGCTCCGAAAGATGTTCATGAGAATCAAATTCAATTTGCTCTTGAGCGTGGTGTCCCGGCAATGGTAGCAGCATTTGCAACTCGCCGTTTATTGTATCCAAGTCAAGCTTTTGATTTGATACATTGTTCAAGATGCAGAATAAATTGGACTCGTGATGGTATTTCTCACTGTTCTGTGCCTTTTTTATTTGTTTTGATGCACATCTGCCTTTAGAGTATATACTGGTACCATTGTGGGTTGCCTACTTTGCATTTTGTAATCACTACCCTATCATTGTGCCAACTGCAATGAGATTCTGAATTTTAAAAATCTTTTGGCACAAGGTCAGTACTTGTTTCTAAGGGCATAGCTACAATCATGGTTAAAATTTGGGTTCCGAATGTAGTTTATCTCATTTATCTATTGAGATATTGCATCCCTAGATTTAATGTGTTTCCTAGTAACTAGTAGAAAAGGCCCAATTCAAAAATGCAGTGGCAAAGCCCGAATTTTGGGCTTCTCTGAGTTGATTCATGACAGCATTTGTAACACCCTAACTCTTCATGAGTTGCAACAAAATGAGAAAAAAAAAAAAAAAAATATTGAAAAGCATTTTGACATTGTACTTGTTCTTCTGGCCAAAAGATAAATTTTACTGAATGCAAATTCTTCTTCACTGAATTATTTGATACTCGGGGATGTTGTCTGATTCTGCTTTTTGTTTCCACCTACATTGTGATAAAGGTGGGATATTGCTGCTTGAGGTCAATAGGATGCTTAGGGCAGGAGGATACTTTGCTTGGGCTGCACAGCCAGTGTATAAACATGAAGAAGCTCAAGAGGAACACTGGAAAGGTATGAACACATGAAATTTCAAGTTATACTATGCTGAGCAGTTCCAGAAATTAAGTTACTCTTCAGGGTATTTTTGCAGGTTAAAGTTCAGTTATTCACTATTTAAACAAGTGTTGCTGGAGTTAAATTTTCTAATTGTACTGGATTGCTTACTAAGTTTTTCAGACTTGCATGAACCACGTTAATTTAACCTTGACCATCTGTGAAAGAACAATTTTGCTGCCCATCATTGTGGCAAATCAGACAATAAAGATCATCCGTCTGTTTCACCTTCTGCAGTCATGTTGTTGTGTACCCAAGGCTTAGGACTTAAAGTAGATAAGTGTGAGGAAAGGCTGCTAAGGATATGCTATTATCAATTATCTATTCATTTGCTGCCATCATCAATTTTTCTGGACTCAACCATGCTAGACTTTTATGTTAGTGGACTTGGACATATAATCTGTTCAGTCCATAAATATTTACTCTGTGCTGTCTGAACCTGTAGTAGACAAATATGACACTATAGTTTACCTTGACTGTGTTTTGTCTTTGATTATTTCAGAGATGCTTAATCTTACAACTCGTCTTTGCTGGGAGCTTGTGAAGAAGGAGGGATACGTTGCAATATGGCAGAAGCCCTCCAACAACAGCTGTTATCTAAGCCGTGAGGCAGGAACCACACCCCCACTGTGTGACCCAGATGACAATCCAGACAATGTCTGGTATATATTTTGTTCTACCTTTTTTCTTTTTCATCATTATCATTTTTTTTTTTTACAGTGATGATATGATGATTTCATCTAACCGCTATAGGTGATTATAATATCCATGCCCCTTCTTTTAGATTGTAAGCCTTACTACGTGTATGTAGAATATACTAGAGCTCAGAAGTGAACATTGTTTCTGTTTCCTTTCATTGTCAAGCTGAAAAATTGTTGTGTTTGGTGGTATAATTTTTAAATCCTTGAACTGGGGTATACTGGAAACTACAGCAGCAAGCTTGAAAGAACAGAAGGAAATTAATGGGTAAAGAGAGAGAAAAAAAAAAAATTATATCTTAAAGAATTAATTGTAAGTTAGCTGTATACCTGATAACTATAAACTATGCTTGCCAATTAACTATTTGGAAGAACTGCGGTATTGTTTTATGGAAGTTCCAAGGTTTCTTCTATTTAGGAAATTTTACTGAAATGGTGGTCTAGCCTTTCTATGCTTATACCTTCAAGCATTGTCCTACAAAACTTTTTGTGCAATCATAGTTTCTCTGATCATTTTGTTGAGAGGCTTGTAAGTTTGTTATGAGTGAAGAATTTGTTGCATGATTATTAGGTATGTTGATCTGAAGGCATGCATCAGTCGACTTCCAGAGAATGGATATGGAGCAAATCTTCCCTCATGGCCTGATCGATTGCAAACTCCACCTGATAGGCTCCAAAGCATACAGCTTGATGCATACATTGCTAGGAAAGAGCTCTTCAAGGCAGAATCGAAGTACTGGAATGATATAATAGCAAGCTATGTCCATGGTTTACATTGGAAGAAGATGAAATTTAGAAATGTAATGGATATGAGAGCTGGCTTTGGAGGGTATTATATTTATCTCATTATGTACTGCTTTAGATTAATATTTCTTCAAGTACTGTTTCTTATTAGTCTGTTTTGGCAGATTTGCAGCAGCTTTAATTGAACAAAAACTTGATACCTGGGTTATGAATGTGGTTCCAGTTAGCGGTTTCAACACCTTACCTGTTATATACGACCGTGGACTACTAGGAGTTATGCATGATTGGTACTATTCCTGCTAAACAAATAAACTAATTGATTGGATTATATATTTGTTGCAATTTGTTGTATACCCTAAAACATTTTACTTGCTGTCACTCCTACGTTATTTTGGTTTAATGAATTTTACCCATGCTTTGATAAGTTTGCGTGCCTGGTGTCTTTTTTATAATTGTTAATCTCATACACAGATATTGTCGCATTGAAATTGTTTAAAATAGTTTTGAGTTCATATACAAATTTTGCTATCCATTTCAGGTGTGAACCATTTGATACATATCCGAGAACCTACGACTTACTGCATGCATCTGGGCTCTTCTCTGTTGAAAGAAAAAGGTGGGTACTTCTTTCTCTCTCTGTCCCAATAATTATATTATGGTAGAAATATCCTTAAGACTATGCTATTATGTGCTCTTAATTTTCCCTTTATATTGCTGTTTGATCCCTAGAGGAGATTGATCTGTAAGCATTTGAACCCATGGGGTTTGGGCATTATTGGATGAAAGTTATAATTTGGAGTATTCGAAGTTATGCAATTAATACAAGATAATGAGTTCATCATGATAAATTAATCTGTCTGGTAATTTGAAATATCTAGAATTATACTGCTTAATATACCATATCTTAAGCAAATCTTTCAGTGTAATCTGGGAATTTAAGACCGGGTTTTGTGAGGAGGTTATTTCTTATCTGTATTATCTCCATGCATCAGATGTAATATGTCAACAATCATGCTTGAGATGGACCGAATGCTCAGACCTGGTGGACATGTGTATATTCGTGACTCTGTTGATGTCATGGATGAACTTGGAGAGATTGCAAAAGCTATGGGTTGGAAAGTGACTATGCGAGAGACAGCTGAGGGCCCTCATGCAAGTTATAGGGTGTTGACAGGTGATAAACGCCTACTGCGTGGTTAAATAAATGGGATTATAAATCCAGGTGTGATTGTTATTAGTAAAATCTGTAAGATTAAGAAGAGATTAACAGCACGGGCCAACGTCCCTTTCATCAAAGCCATATGGAGAAAAGGATCGCAGATGCTTATGGAAATTTTATTGCCACAGAGAGAGACCTGTTTCATTTATATAATTATCGACTACTGGAGTGGACATCCGATCAGTTCTTAGCTGGTGCCTCGTGAGTTGTGATTTTTTAGGTATTGACTTCAATATTAGATTAGGCACGTACTTGATCCATGCCCGAGTGGAAATGATGGAAGCCTTCCATGTACTTTACCTGTAAAACACAGCATAGTACATTTCATTTTTTAAATTGATGATTTTGTAATATTATTCTTTTTACCTGAATTCAGGAAAAGTTACATGCAAAGCATTAGCTAATATGTTTGCTCCATTTATAATCCTGTAAGCTGTAACTAAGAGTCTTAAAGACTTAGACCATGAGTTCTCTCTTTTCGAACTTCGAAGCCCTGTTTCTTTATATTTATTATTTAGAATAACGTTATATTTATATCATTTTTTTACATCATTTTTATTATATCATGATGTGATATATGTCATAATCACACAAAATTTTAATTATTTTAAAATTTTAATATTATAATAAAATTTGTGTGGTTATGACATATGTCATATCATAATGTAATAAAAATAGTGTAAAAGAGTGGTATAACTGTAACATTACTAATTTATTTAATGGATAGATTGTTCCTATTTCTTAAGCTGAAATTTTGTGATGGTGTTTTTACCCTGAAATCATTTCATTTGAGTTTGTATCTTTTTTACATTCAAGACTTTCTCTATGTCTTCTATAGTAATAACAGACTAATAAATTAATAACAGTAAACGACATATTCCCATCAAGGTTTGACGAAATCCCAAGTTGGTATTTCAAATTACATTTATTCTAGATTCTCACCCTTAAAATAACACTATTAGCAATTTTTAGGTTATAGAGAGTGCAATTATCATAATGCCCTCAATCCTAAATTAATAAATTATATTTTAACCCCTAAATTAGTAGAATTATCTTACCATTTTATTTTTAAATTATCTCAGTAACACCCTCGGTCACTGCACACCCTCTCAATTTTTGCCCGATCTGGGCTGTTTCTGACGACATCAAACCCCTTGGTCACATCCATCACCTTCCCCGCAGTTTTTCGTCCAAAACCCCTCTGGTTCTCAACTCATTGACCCCTCCAATAGCTGACGCCGCTAGGCTTAGGGTTTCTATATTCTTCGCCGGATTCCGACGGCAAAAATCCAATTGAACACCACCACTGCAACCAGCGTCTCCAACTCTATAAAACCTCTATGTCCCCAACAACCGTTTAGTCGCCGTTCGCAAGTCGAGAGTTCGTGTTCATTGACCCTTTTTTGGTGAAGTGGTGGACAACAAACGGTGAGCTACCATGGCTAGAAGGTTAAGGGTTTTGTAGGGGAGGATGCGAGGAGTCAAATGGTGGTGGTGGTTGGGGTTGTCGCCGTTCAAAACGGTCGAAAATCGACAAAAACCAATTGCATGTCTCGGCTGCTATGGCCGGCGATCGGCGAGTGATGAGGGGTTGTAAAGGGTAAGGTTTTGCAGAGGGGAGAATAAGGGTTCGAATGATAGTGACAAGGGTGATTTTGAGTGGAAGAATCGCCGGAGAAAGGGCGAACAATGTCGAAGACACCATATGTTAACGTGCGTCGGAGGATTGTTAGAGGCGACGATCTAATAACGTACGCCGTCCATGCAAAATGACCAATTTACCCTTTTACTGTTACATCAAACACTTTTCTGTCATTTTAAGGGTGAAAATTTGGAATAAATGTAACTAGGGGTACCAACATAGGATTTCGTCAAACCTTGGGTGGGAATATGTTGTTTACTCAATTAATAATGGGTACTCTTTGAATCTAAAGAGATGTGATACTGCAACATGAATTAAAAAAAGTTAAATATAAAGTTTATTGTAAATGTAATTTAATTTTAACGTAACCTCAAATTAGTGAAATTAGAGATGTGATACTGCTATTTTAATTAAACAACATAAAAGAATAAGAAGAAGAAGAATATTTGCATCAAGTGATATTGCTGTGGCTGCAATTAAAGCTATTACACCAACATATCCAGCCCAGAGGGACCATCACAGCCACAGAATATCCCAATACATAGGCACTGTTTATACCAGAGGTGAGAACGAACCCAACCTGAAGCCATGAATCTAGGATTTCCAAGGTAAAAGATATAATGAGCATAACAACAATATTAAGTTATATAAACTGAAATTACCCAAATAAAATATTTTCCAGAAATTAAGAGCCCTTTTTCTTCTAGTTTCAAAGAAGGTCAGCACGATGAGATACAATACAGATAAAATGTATGAAAAACACGATGATGAATTTTAGGTTACCATTTTCATCAAGTAAAACCACAAATAAACCCCGATCAGATAAAATGTATAAAAAATAATCTCATTTTTGTTCCTAGAAAATAAAACTTGCTTTCGATCCCTTTTCAGAACCAACCACACAAAATCTCCATTTCTTCAATAAAGTTTCAACTTTCATATCACCAAACCCATTCAGTCTATAAAGAGTATGAAGAAAACACACAATTCCCACTTTCCAAACCCAAATTAAACTTCATGAAACAGAAAGACAAACACTCAGAACAGAATCTCAATATTTTTCAATAAAAGTTTCAACTTTCACATTTAGAAAAGGGTACCATTTATAAACAAAACACAAGGGTATCCTTATAAAAAACACACAACTTACATCAAACAAACCCAAAAAATAAAATAAAATGAACAAGGGAAGTACTGAAACAAAAAGAACCTAGAAAAATTAAAAATGGTAATAATAACCAGTACTAATCTGATGGGCTGTTTCAGGAACCTCCTCATCATGCACTTTCCCGTCATAAGAAATCACTACTTCATTACTATTACCAGTGGTGGACGTCAACAGCCAGCAGGTGGTGGTCATGGTCTTGGTGGTGGACGTCAACAGCCAGCAGGTGGTGGTCAGTGATGATTTGTGGATGATTTAATGTTTAGGACTCAATTTTCTGTAACAAAAGCTCTCCTGGATTTGAGTGGCTTCTTGACGGCTGGATTGCTGAGAAAAGGATTCTCTTTGAAGTTAATACTCACTTTAATTTTTAAAATTAAATTATGTACTATATCACATGTTTCTTTAAATTTTGTTATTTTCTCACTTAAGTTATTAAGCGGTTAATAAATATTTAACCATAGTTTTAAATTTAATATAACCGATGTCTAATCGTTAACGATATCAACTTGAATAACAAACATCTAACTGTTAACGTATCAACTTAAATAACGAACATCAAATATTAGACTCATTAAATTAATTTTGTTCTATCAATTTTTTTTTTTTTTTTGTAAATATAATGATTGTGTATCTAAAAATGGGTATTCCAACGTAAATTATTCTTGATTTTGGTATTTTTATATGATTAAGAATCAATATCTTATATTTATGTTTTCAATTTAATTTGTGTACATATTAATCATTTAGATTATATTATCATCTTCTGACATCAGTAATTAAAGATGTTAATCATTGAAAATTACGTAGATCTTGGAGAGTTTTGTGAATCTAACTCGAACTTGATTAATTATAAAAGAAAAATTTGTTCCTTGTTAGTTTGAATTGGACTAATATTTTCATCAAGAGGTTGATGAACAAAATGAAACGAATTCTGCAGATATATATTTTTTTGATGTTTGATCCTTTTAAAATTGTCTTTGGCTTCCTGAATTCTACATAATTCCCCTAAACCCCTGCCACATCAGCATTTTCTTGCAAAAAATTTCCAGCTTTTTCCCTCTTGAAAAGGAAAACCCAGAAGTTGTCATTTCTTTCGTTTTTACCCCAACACAACTTTAAAAACTCACAGAAAGGCCATTTCTCATAAACAAAACCACAAAATATACACATAATCTATAAGAATTAAAAATGGGGTTTTTACAGAGAAGTATTAAGGTCTTGGACTCTTTCCTCAAATTGATTTGAAATGATAACCAACAGACAGGGGGAAGGATGGTGTTAATGCTTGATTTTGACACCAACTACTCGCACGTGTGAAATGCTAAGCAGACTTAGACGTCACACGTGATATGTGAATATTTAGTTAAATAAAGAGTGAAAGACAATGTTTAAAGTGGTTCGGATGCTCAAAAACGAATCTTACATCCACTGCTATCGTATTAATAAGAGGGTAGAGGTCAGGTCGCGTTCAGCGAGCTGAGCTATCATTTAGGAAGAATACGAGAGAGAGAGAGAGAGAGAGAGAGAGAGCGCTATTTTAGAGAAAATTTGGCTAATCCCCCAAACGGGAGGGAATGGCCCTATTTATAGTGGGATGAACCAAGGCAATGATTACTAAATCTGTAAGTGGGTGGGTACCGTGCAAATCCTTATCTGCGTCTCATTGCTCACCTACCCGAATGATTTCCTAGATTTATGCAAGGCTTGGACACGTGGACGATTTTCAACCATCTGCTAACCTGGCACTCACCCACTGCACTGACAGGGACGTGCCACTTAAACTATCGCGCGACGTGGCTGCGTCTGAACGGTCGTAGAACCTTCCCAAGTTCTGACCACCTCATGCTGACAAGGCTCCATGTCAACCTTGCCATGGGAATCATAATAATGAGTTAATTAAATTAAAGAATTAGTAGTGGTGAGTTAATATTCCTGAGAAATTGGATGCATATGTTTCAGCATAAAACAGGAAATATGCATACTCTTATAACAATATAATTCCATTAAAGTTTAAAACTATAACTAGGTAGTGAGTCAAATGGAGAAACTTGAGAAAAGGTTCTGTTCGGCTGGAAATGCTAAAGAAATATGCTACAGACTTGACCCAAATGGCGAAAGAGGTAAATATATCCTTCATTGCCCAGTATTCAATAATTTAATGGCGTTCTTTCCTGTTCTGTGGCTGTTAGAAATATAATTTCTTGTTTAGGCAAGTTGGAACTTGAACGTGTCATCCAAATACTGTGTAAATTAAAGAAGGAAGAATAATTCATGCCTGATTGGCGATCCTGGTGTTGGAAAAACTGTAATAGTTGAAGGCTTAGCACTGAGGACTAGAAATAATACTTCTCCATATAAACCCCAGGGAAAGAAGGTCAATTCTACATAATAATTTTTGCTTAACAGGTTTTATTCTTTTGTGTGATAATATTTGGTCCATCATCCTCTTCATTGACGAGGTTCACACTCTTATTGGTGCTGGTTCTGGAGGACAAGCGCTAGATGCTGCTAAAATCATGAAACCTAACCTTGCAAGAGGAGAATTATTAATTGCCTTTGAATTCTGATTTGATTCTCAATTCGTTCTTAAATATCATTATAGTTTGCCTTTGAATTATTAATAAAGACCTCAAATATCGGTGGTAATTTGATTTCCAAGAAAAGTCATCTGTGGTTTGAC